TGGTTATATGCTATACTCAGTGCTTTTTTTGTGACGGTACAGCCTGGAACGGCGTACCGTCACCTATTTTCCCAGCACACAGGAATAGCATTTCCCCCCGGACGTACCAGCACCTGTTTTCCTGCCACCGCTCGTCTCCTGATGGAAACCTGCTCAGGACGCAAGGTGTTTTGGCTCTTAAAGGGGCGTGATTGCATTTTGGCCCCCAGTGCGTTTTTTTGCTCAACAAGCTTTCCTTTTTTTGCTCAACAAGTTTGAACCTGGAGTACCGGCACCTTTTTTCTTACAAAAAAAGCACTGGCTATACTACCTTTATAATTTTCATGCAATCAGATTAATTATTTGAAACATCCAAATGACCACCTGCACGTGTAGACCTTGTGAGAACAGCATGTTTCTATTTAAACTCTTGATAAACTCTCCAGGTTTTTTGTGAGTAGTATCTTTCAAACCTATTTATGCACTGTTTCAAAATTATTTGGGGAAAAAAAATTATTGATGGGTCTAGCATGTGTTTTGAATAACTTGTTGCTCTTGTATAGATGTGTCTGGCCTAATTGGCTTTGAACTCCGTGCCATAAGTGAGTTACCATTTCTGAAATCTGGAGCTGGAATCTTGAGTTTCCATATGGTCAAATGAGTTGTAGTGTATACTCTTAACTATTACTATTTTTCTTCTTAGCCACCTGCCAGTATAAATCATTTTGGAGCAGTTACTTATAAATTGCATTATCCTGTAAGAAGTTTTCTCCTTTGCAGTAATTATTTCCTATTTAACAAGATTAGGGGTTCAGTTGAACCTGCATTTTATTAACATTTCCAGAAATTAAAAAACATGCACCAAAAATAGTGCTGCCCTCATCAATTATTTTGATAACTTTTGATCACATTAAACTGCTATTACTGGATAATTCAATTACTAGCTGAAGAAAACTAACATTTAATAAGTAGGGAAACTCATACGAAGTATGATCAAAGAAGAAAAAGTCAAAGGAAGGACCTTAAGTTGCCTAAAATTATAAACTTTGTATTAATCAGACAATGCTGACAACTGTGTGCTTTGTTCACAGCAACGTTCTAGGTGGTCAGCTGGATAACATATTTGGTTACTGGCCATGTTCCCTGAGCACTTGGGTAGCTACCCAGGAGAGATTCAAATGCCACCCAGCTAATTATCAGAGCACCAAAACAGGCAGAATATTTCTACTGGTGGTACACATCCACACATGCTTCCATGCATATAAAATGTATTCCATACATGGATGGAAAAAATTAGAGGGAACATTGATCACTGGACAAGACAAACTCTAAGTGGAAGACATTATTTTGGGAATTACATGCATCTACATATTTTCATGCGATCACAATCATGACTGTCTAGGTGCGGTGTACAAAGTTAAGAGTTGAAATATTCTTCAGCAAATTACACATCAGGGCTCATATACTCATTCTGTGGAATCCTTATAAATGATAAAAATGTGAGAATTTTGGTCAGATTTTTTTATCCAGGCCCAGAGTCCCTCTGCTTGGCTGTTTATATGTGACACTTCCTAGGTCTCAACACTAAGGGCTCGTCTACACTGGCCCCTTTTCCAGAAGGGGCATGTAAATTTCATGAGTCGTAGTAGGGACATGCGCGGGGGATTTAAATATCCCCCGCGGCATTTAAATAAAAATGTCCGCCGCTTTTTTCCGGCTTTTAAAAAAGCTGGAAAAGAGCGTCTACACTGGCCCCGATCCTCCGGAAAAAGTGCCCTTTTCCGGAGGATCTTATTCCGGAGGATCTTATACTTTGAAGTAGGAATAAGATCCTCCGGAAAAGGGCACTTTTTCCGGAGGATCGGGGCCAGTGTAGACGCTCTTTTCCAGCTTTTTTAAAAGCCGGAAAAAAGCGGCGGACATTTTTATTTAAATGCCGCGGCTCTTTTCCGGCTTTTTTAAAAGCCGGAAAAAAGCGGCGGACATTTTTATTTAAATGCCGCGGGGGATATTTAAATCCCCCGCGCATTTCCCTACTACGACTCATGAAATTTACATGCCCCTTCCGGAAAAGGGGCCCGTGTAGACGTAGCCTAAGGGTACATCTACACTGCAACGACATTTTGGGATACCAGAGTATTATTGCAGTGTAGATGTACCCTTAGTGTTGAGCCCTAGGAAGTGTCACATATAAACAGCCAAGCAGAGGGACTCTGGGCCTGGATAAAAAAAATCTGACCAAAATTCTCCCATTTAGATCATTTATAAGGATTCCGCAGAATGAGTATATGAGCCCTGATGTGTAATTTGCTGACGAATATTTCAACTCTTCACTTTGTACCCCGCAAAATAAATGTTGGCAGCCCTGACTTGGACACAAGCTTCGAATACAGGGGCCCCGCAGCAGGTAGGGGCCCGGGGCCACCCCGCGCGGGCTAGCAGCCAGCGGCTCAGCAGCAGAGCACCCGCCCCGCCTGGCACACCG